TACTACCATAGTCTCAATAATTCCTAATGAATATTGACCATAACTAACAAATGTATATTTTGATGATTGTGTTCTTTTTCTTTTTATTAACCAAAAAAAAAGCAAACAAACAAATTATCTAATCTTAGTTTTAAAATAATACATGTATATGAGATGAATAGGGGTGTGTATGTGTGTGTGTGTGTGTGCATGTCTCTTTGTATCCATGTGAGATAATCAATTTCACTTGGAATTTTAAATAGTTTCCTACTTAAAAGTCCACTTTTTTTATAAATAAAAAAAAGAAGAGACAAACAATATGTATGAATGAATATAAATATATGTGTGTGTTTGTGATTGAACACTTTCACATGTTTTTTTTATTTTCTCCTTGTACATTGTCAAAGCTTTTAAAGTGTATTTTATATGATGTGACTTTGTTTTGTTTTTTTGGTTTTGCAAGTGTTATCTACAATGAATATTAATATTGTTCTCAGGACAATGATGGTCATGATAGAAAAATTAGGGTTCGAATTCTATTTTTCGTTTATACTACTTACGACAATGATGGTAAATTAGTTGATGAAGTTGTGAATCTTCATCGACTGAGATGGTTGGATCACGTGTGACATATGTCTGAACACCGATCACCATGATGCGCAATGCTGACTAGTGTTGGGAATGACTGGAAGAAAGTAAGGAGCGGCCAAACCAAAACCTGGCATCAGTCCACACAGTCACTAACTTCCGGTCTGAGCCATGTTGGTAGATGCAGACTACTTGTTTGTGGTCCGCGTGACTATCGTAACCAATGGTTGGAGACTGTGGATGACATGGCTCAGAATCGATCAACAATGGAGTACGTGTATAAACTCTCTGTCTTCCCTTAAACTAAGAGATTAAAATCGCTTCATATCTTTCTTTCTATGAACTAATTCTTTCTTCCTGTACTATTCAACTCTGTCCTGGACAATCCTTTTCATGTCTGCTTCCGATTCACGACAAAATATATTTTGATCTTCCACTTCTCCGTTTCCCTTTATGATACCAAGTTAACACTTGCTTCATTACTTGTCTGTAATTTATTTTTGTCTGAATATAAATATTGAGTCACGCTTGATCAAAGCGAGTTGGTTCACTCGCCTTATCTGCGCAACACTTCGTTTCTCTGATTGTCTGTCTAGATCAATAAGTGTATGAATTATACGTATTCAGAATTAATTCTCGTACTTGACTTATTTTATTCCATTGCTCTCTAATGCGAATTACGTCGATAAATAAAAAAAATATACGTGAGTTAACAGCATTTATATTTCGATAACACTCATCATACGATATAACGAGTCAAATATACGGTCAAAAAAGTACTACAATCCGTGATGGAAATTTATTTTAACTTAAACAATTAATCTCTCTATCTACGATTTCAGTCAGTCATCAACAAAATAGAACTTCGTACGTACGTACATCAGTCCAAGTTGCCATACCACATTAGCACAGAGATGCAGTTGACGACTCAAATTCCGTAGTGGTAGAGATAGTAAAAGTATAGGCAGTAATCGGAAACATTAGGGTTTGAAGATATTACTCAAGGAGTATAACACAGCGAAATAAATTTGCAAAGAGAAAAAACAAAGAGACATGAAGAATTCAGAAGATTAGAATTTGGGAGAACACAGAGAGTGGATGCACCTGCGCCATTGCAAACGATTTTGAGTCATGTCATTCAGGATCTCTAACCATCGGTTGCTATCATCTCACGGTCCGCAACCAGGTAGTCTACACCTACCAACATGGCTCACTCAGTCCACTTGTCAGTGACTTCATGGAATTGTGCCATGTTTCGGTCTGACCACCTCTAACTTTCTTCCAACCAAATCCAACACCGTAAAACATAGCACGTCGAGGCAGTCGGTCGTTGGGCATACGTAACACGTGTCCCAGCCATCTCAACTGATGAAGTTTCACTACTTCATCAATTGATTTGTCATCCTTACCTAGTACCCGTTTCCTAACAACTGTACTAATCACTCGATGGTCCCAGTATATACGAGCAATATTTCGAAGACACCTATGATCAAATACTAGTAGCCTGCGAATATCCTCTACTCTTACCGGTCATGTTTCACAGCCATAAAGTAGGACGGAACGAACTGCTACGCAGTAAACCAGTCCTTTGTTTGGTAGATTTATATCTCGCCTACTCCATAAATGACACAAGTTGGCAAAAGCTATTCGAGCCTTTTGTATCAGTGCTGAGATTTCGTCACACACCAGACGATTTAAAGATTTTCAATTGTATAATGAGGAAACTAGTTTATTAGATGTAAGCCTGATTGAATAATACAAAATAACTGGCCAGGTAATCAATAATATTTGAAATAGTTGTGTAGTAAACGAAAACTCAGTTGGGAAAGACCAATTTGTTGTTTAATGCCAAGTTACAGAGTTCTTCCCTAAAATATGAGGACCATACATTTATTACTTCGTTTGTGAATCTTCCACCAATCGTACTTTGCATCCTTCATGATTACTCCAATTCTCCGTTCATTTCCGTTTTCTTCGGTTCAATATTCTCAACCTTCTTTTAACAGGCATTCCACTTCTGATCGGTGTTACATACTACTTATATCTGTCAACATAAGTAGCATATACCACAACAGGTTATGATAGTAGCATAGAAATCCCGCTTGTTGATAAACCTCAAATTTATTCGTCATGTTACTATTTAATGTCTTAATCTTCGAGGTATAAATGCACGTTTCATTTCAGCACAATAGTAAATACAAGAAAACATTAATGACCATTTGTAATCAATGGATCGTTGAGAAAAATTCAGACACGGAAGAGTGACATCAAACAGACATTTAAGAAAACAATCTAATCTAATAAATGAAGCATATCAAATGGTTAGGTGAATGATATGATTCGGTGAAATAATACGTTCATAATGAAACGGGATGCATGAATAACACGAACACATTCGCTCTTCTCCACTTATTCATTTGTCGCTTGTTACCCCCTCATGAAAGAACACAGACCGCTCACCAGTATTCTCGAGTTACTAACGATTCCAATCCCGAGTAAAGGAGAAGGATTGGACATGGAGTCAGCGACCTTATATTGTAGAAAACAACCCTACTAAAAAATACTAACCAGAATAAACAAATTAAACAGTTACTTATTCACAATAAAACAAAGATTTGGTTACCACAAAATAATAGTCGAATGCTTTACATTGATTAGTTTAACAATAAAATAATCTGTTGAAACAGAATTATGGATAAACTGAAACAGAATCACACTGAACCAATAGGATACATCAGTTCAAGGACGAATGATAAGTTTCGTATGTATGTTGCATTTGTCAATATTTGGTTTGAATTACTGAAGTAATTGATATGCGCTATTGGTTGGAAATCTTGGGGGGAGACGGATCTATATTTCTGGATGGGTTTGTGCCAATATTTCAATTTGAAGTAACAGGTTGAGCTTGCATATCAGTGCCAGAATCGGATGGCCAGTGAACACCATATAGGCCTTTAATATAATAGTTAACAGACTATCATATCGATTTATAGTAAAGCTAGTTTTTTCCATTATTTATCCACAAGTCAATAAATAATTCATTTGATCCAATAAAACGTTTCATATATATGTCCAGTATATTGAACATTTGATGTATTGACTTTCTTAGTCAATTTTTACACATACACAAATGAAATATAAATGGGAACTATGAAATGAATTTCACTTTCAAGATTAGTTTCAGGACAGAAAACAAAGTGATACATGGTTACCAGGGCACTTTTTATTTAACCTCCTGATGAGTGATTAATCAGATTATGTAGATGGTCTGTGATATATATATATATATATATATATATATATATATATATATATATATATATATATATATATATATATGGTAAGTTATAAACAAAGAACCTGGCACATATGCGCATCGTCACAAGTTGTTACAGTGTATTTGCAGAGTTAAATAGAAACTAGGAAGAAAAATGCGGTGGAAGTAGTAACGTTATCAGTGACAGTAGAAAAGATAAGATATCGACAACATAATCCGGGAAAAAAGGATGAATCCATGGAATAAAATGTATAAGATAATCTTTAAACTCAAGATCTAAAAAAAGAAAAAAAACAATGAATGCATCTGGGTTATTTCAGACGATTGTAAGATATGTTACCTAACGTTTCCAACTATTGGTAACGAAAATCACACTGACCAGGTAGCCTGCACTCACCTTCATGAAGCAATCCAACAGTTAACTACCTCAAAAAATGATATCACTTCCTGGTCTAATTACACCTATTTTTCTTTCAACCTACTCCTAGACTAGCAAAACTAGAACGTTGAGTTAGACGATTAGGCATACGTAGTACTTGTCCTAACTACGTCGGTTGATAAAGATTCACTACCTTAATTATTGTGAGATATAAAAATTAAAGCGAAACAAATGAAAGGACTTTTTGATTAAAAAATAACATAATGTACGTCACAGATTTCAGTTTAATAGTTATTAAAAACCATGAACACCCGGTCATCTCCTCTGTTTTATTATAGGACTGCTAATTAGTGCGTACGCAAAGCCCCACCTTCAGGTCTCACACTAAGTGTCTAAACTTGAAAACATCAAGTCAGCATTTAATGATTTATATTTCTAAATTCAATTAATTTGTGGTATTGCATGATCATCTGCCGATGTCATTGATGAATAACTATCTCATATCCGACATGGTTGAACTCTATTAGTCACAGCATCACAAAAAGAACTTTTAGAATCCACCTCTTATAGGTAGGAACCAATGAACAAGCATATGATTATTATTACTAAACAAGGAGTGACTATACGAAGACTGATGAACTTCATGTTGGGATATTCAGAAAAATATCCCAGAAATTATCCTGTTAAGTCTAATGCTATCCTTGGACTTGAAATGGCATCATTTTCCTATTGGTCAATATTTATTTCACGTACCATTTTCCTGTTGGCCAAATATTGTACAAATGTTATTTTCTATTTTATAGTACGTTGTGGTCTGTTTGATTTGTATATAAACTCAGTATGTTTGAAAATATGATGATTCATATCTCCGAGGCTGTGACTTGCGTTCTGGACTTATCTGGCTGAGCTAGGCGAAAAGCAGGGCCAATCAGAACTCTAGAATGCTCGCACGTGTTTACGCGTCATCGATCCGATCGATAAGTCACTGCTCTCTGATAGACGGTTACAAGATATAACACTTCATAATATAAAACATGGGCTAATGGTATTATATAGGCAACCATTGAAAAGTTAACACTGAAAAAAAATAACCATACAATAAACAATTATCATTAAAAGAAATATTTTCTTTTCTTTCGAAGATCTGAAATCTTAGCATAACAAATTCAGCTATGCAAACATATATATATATATATATATATATATATATATATATATATATATACGCAAAAGAAAACAGTAATAATAATCTAAATAATCATGAGAGTCACAAACAAAAAGGAAAGGAACATAGAGGAGAGAACGATCGAAGCCAGTAACAGCAGCAGTAGTAGTAGTAGTGATAATAGATGGATAATATGCTGTATCAGTCTCTTCCTATAGGTTAAACATTATCCAACATCATAATTCATCTTTAATATATTTATCTGAATGTAGTTTATCATTGATCATTGGTGATAATGATGATGATGATGCTGCTGGTGATGATGATGATGATGAGATAGTGTATTGTTTTTCATAAATCACTGGCCATTCAGTTAATGATTGACATGTAGATAATTCTGTATTATAATAATTTGCTTTATATAAATAGATTGGTCCATTTGAACAGAAATTATTCAAAGTAGTATTGAATAAAAAGCCCATAATTGAACGTTCTTCAACAATACGATAAGTAAATGTCGATGAACTAGTCCCAATAAAATATCTTCAATGAATATTAAAAGAAAAGATACATATAAGAAATAGACAATGATAATTCAGTTTTATAAAAGCTTCATTATATGATTGAATAACATTGAGATTAGGACACCTTTTCATCAATGAAAAATATAAATATAAGAAAATATGGATAGTGACTTATAGAATGCTTATGACTTAAGGCTATATCGAGGCAATCTGCATAGGATGCATATACATCAATAAGAGACGAATCATTTGCAGTCCTAAAACAACAATGGGAGGATTCAAGTAAACAATACCAAGTGAATTTATAAGTTTAGCCCATTGCACAAGTAGGTGGCTATCAAGACTAAATAGGTCAAGTGGATAATGCGATGGGGTTTTAAATGGACGGTGCCGGGTTCGAGTGCTGCAGTGAACATCAACTCTAAGAAGCAGGTACATCCAGCTGAAGAGTCCTAAATAGGACGAAATGCATGTCGTGGATTCCACTGCTAGCTACCATCCATCTTTACTTAAAATGCTTTTGACTTAAGATAATATCGAGGCAATCCAAACAGATTGCACATATGTAAATAAGAGAATGATGAATTGCAATTCTAGACATCAATGGGAAGATACAAATAATATAAAATGAATTTATATAAATAAGATGAAAGAATTTGCAAAGAATATGTTGTTTTGAAATGATCAGTTAATTTATTTTAGGTTTTCTACAGGTTCTTAGACGTTGTGGCTAGAATGTAGAATTATTTTACAAATACACTAAACTCTAATTCTAACCCGGAACACTACCTATAACTTCAATAATAGGTCTAAGCCTTACTCATATCTAATGTATACTAAACTCTAAATCCTAATCTCAACATAAGACCTAACTTCTACAGGCAAATAGGACGAAATGCGCGTTAAACTGGATTCCACTGTTAGTCACTATCCATCTTTGATTAACGGTATTAGTTGTATAATACTTTTCATATTAATATCACACTGTAATCACGTAACAGTTGCATTGACTTAATTGATTAAACGATGAACATTTCAAAAAACTTATTCAATCCTTTAAAGATTCTTAGCGATTCGATTTGCAACACTATCGAACTGTTGAGATTTAAGTACGGAGATTTATGTTTGAACCTACAATCTAACTACGTTTTTTGAAAATAGAGATGGACTATGACTAGCAATGATGTCCATGAAGTGCATGTTTCAACTGATTCGAGATTTATAAATTGGATATTAATATATACAACAAAGTCAGAATCTTCAATACGAACGTCAAGACAGTTCTACTGTACGAAGCTGAAAGTTAGAGAACTACAACAACCATCATCAAGAAGGTACAATTATTGATATATAATTGTCTTCGCAAGATACTCAACATCCATTGACCGGATACCATCAGCAACAGCCTACTGTGAGAGAGAACAAACCAGCTTCCAGTTAAGGAGGAAATTAGGAAAAGACGATGGAAATGGATAGGACATACATTATGGAAATCATCAAAGGGCATCACGAGACAAGCCCTAACTTGGAATCCTGAAAGGAAGCGAAAAATGAGGAAGGCCAAAGAACACATTACGTCGGGAAATAAAAGCAGATATGAAAAGGATAAGTAGAAACTGGAAAGAACTGGAAAGTATTGTCCAAGACATGGTTGAATGTCGAGTGCTGGTAGGCGGCCTTTGTTCCTCCACTAAGGGTAACAGGCGTAAGTAAGTATATATCAATAGAGACTGATCAACTCCAGACATTTCAACGTAATTGAAAAAAGATTCGAATGATTTACCATTAAATAATCATTTCATTCTATTTCAAGCTTTAATGTATTACACTGAAAACTCAATAAAACCATCAACCTATCAATAGTGAATATATGGATATATATACTAAAAAAAGCCTTTTATCTCATTGATTAAACTATTATTATTATTATTATTATTATTATTATTATTATTATTATAAGAATGAGAAAATATCATATTCTATTATCATTTATCTATAATGAAGGTTCTAAACAACTGTCAATATTAACCAACATAATAAACCTGAATTAAATCTATTCAACTTTACTGAAAAACAAAAAAAAAAAAAAAAGCAAAGAAATGTTGAAATAAAAGTTAAATTATAAATTGTATAATCCTATAAAATAACTTAGTTGCCATGGGACACAATGGAATCAACTACATATAGATTCTACTTTAAGGCATTTTTTTCCTTAAAAAAAATCAGCAAAACCGAGTGAATTACTGAATATTCGCAATGATAATTAATTTTCTAGTAATAATAATAATAATAATAATAACAGTAGTAGTAGTAGTAGTAGTGTGGTGTGCGCTACTTATATTGACATAAGTAGTAGATGCTGTTAGTTGTGAACAGAATGTCTGGCAGCAGAGAGACAAGAGGATCGAACAGTAAAGAATAGAAACAGAATGCAATTTGTATGAAAATGTATGAACAATGAAGTCTGAATCATTTTGAGATTATTGATGAACATTTTACAAATTAAGCATTTACTTTATGATTGTTAGATTTCACTAACGAGTCCTGTAATGTTGTGTCAAATACATTCGATTGTTCCTACTGGTGTTCTATTCACTACAGTAGTAGTAAATCAGTAGTATGAATAGATAACAACGAAAAAAATAAGAGAACCGTACTTAGAGTAATATTACGTGTTTCTAGTAAATAATAGACAGAATTTAACTATAAAAAAGAAGAAAAAGCATATAACTATCTCTATTGTGTTTGTTAAATTGAATCCGATCAAAGAAACAAAGTCTTTTTATTTATAAATAACAATAATCATCAATTATAATGAGTAAACATTATGATTATTGATAAAGAAACAATATTGAAACTCATTCAAGGCGATCAAAGTACCAAGTAACACATTTACGAGTATGATCACAATAAACATAAATCAAAATGAAGAAGAAATTTAGAATAGAATAGATAAACGGAAAACAAGAAATAATGAGAAATGGGAAGATTATAGTAGATGTGTCACATATATTCACGTACACATACAGTTGACTTTACTCTACTGTAACTAGCATTCCCAACCTATCTAATGATATATATATAATGTACCGTCATGGGCCAGGCTAGTTTTACATTGGTTTTCAGGAGAATCAGACACCATCCGGACTTTCATGTGACAACCCAAACAGTACAGCTCAATCCCTTTCAATAGGAGAGCCAGACACCGCTCAGGCTTAAATTTTATAACCCAAGCAGTACAGTTCAATCCCTCTTTACTGGAGAACCAGAAACCGTATAAACTTTAACGCTAAAATTTGAATAATATAGCTCAATCCTGTGGTGCAACCACACAGGTATCAAGCACTCCGGTGGACTAATATATATTACCAATCCATAAAAATTGTATTTGGATAATGTATATTGTTATGACTTTATGTAGGGCTTTTTCTCACCTGATTTATCCACCAATCAAAATACGACTTATACAATCTTAGCAGTGTGTCAGAACCAATGAAGTTCGACCGGTTTGGGCAGCCTAGCGTCCTTATTGGCCGTATGTCCGCCCAGCCCGTCCACTTGAGTCCAGAACACCAATACCAACTTCCACTATGCGAATCGAGTCGAATCATTTATTTCAGACATACTGGGTTTGTATATCAATTAAACAGACCGCAACGCACCATGAAATAGGACATAACATGTGTACACAATAAAGCCAAGAAGTGACTGTGAACATGGGAGGCAGTAGTTAATAAACTGAACATAGATTAAGAACCGTAAATCGTACAATAATAATATAGAGGTCAAAATAAAGCTTATCATAAGAGGAATATAAATATACATAATCTAATGATTGAATAGTTATACCATAAGAATGTATAGATAATATTAGTCCATTAAAAGGTCTCAGCAGAAGTTACTCATGATTTAATCTTCACTCGGACATAATATACATATTTATTATAGAAGATAATTCAATATGTTAAAATGATAATGTAACCGAGTAAACCAAATATAGTTTTATTATATATTTGATTCATTGAATAATATTGTTTTATGCCAAGACTAATTATAATCGTTATCTTTTGAACAGAAATCAATAAAAAGAATGTTAAAAAAAAAGAGTTGAAATGGAATATCTAATTATTAATAATTAACTATCATTCTAATTATTATTATTATTTATTAATTAATTGAATAAAAATTAATAAATAAACTAGTTTATAGACAAGATTTATTTTATGCATATGTGTATTGATGATTTATTTGGAATTATTAGACAAGTCTTATAATAAGATGAAATGACCATTCAATTACTTTGAAATTTACGTTACGTATACCTGAACACCGATTACCAAGAGATGCAATGCTAACCGACGTTGGAGATGATCAGAAGAAATGAAACGGCGATCAAACCAAAACGTGGTATCAGTCCACACAGTCACTAACTTCTAGTGTGAGCTATGTTGATAGATGCAGACTACTTGGTTGGTGTCCCCGTGACTATTGTAACCAACGATTGGAGACTCTGGGTGACATGTCACAGAATCGATCACAATGGTGTAGGTGTATACACTCACTGTCTTCCCTTAAACTCTGAGATTAAAATCACTTCTTTTTTTTCCTACGAACTGATTCTTTCTTTGTGTACTATGTCTTTGTAAACAATCTTTCTTTAATATATTACCACCATTGACTTAACCACTCCTATGAATCCGGTGTTCATCTTGTTGTTCTAATGAGGTATGGCAACTTGGACCGATGCATATATGTGCTTGGTCGTACTTTGTAGCTGACTGACTGACTTTCAAACTTACCATAGTCATCTAACTTATCATTTTAACGATTAAAATAAAATGACTATCATATCTACAAAACACCGCCTTCTGATTCACTTGGTATTATCTGGCTTGTATTTTCCCATTGAGGTTTAAGACTGCAATTGATCAGTCTGTTATTGGCATATATACATACTGTGGGTATGCCTCGATATTACCCTAATTTACAAGCCTTTTGTAAGCAATAATGGATAGTGGCTAGCAGTGGAATGCAGTTCGACGCGCATTTCGTCCTATTTGGCACTCGTCAGTTGGATGTACCTGCATCTCAGAGTTGATGTTCACTCTGGGACTCAAATCCAATACCATTCACTTCAACCACCTTCTGATATTACAATAAAATTTAATAAAGTCACATATAGAAATACTTAGATACAAAATGTCACAATCACTTTCTATTGAAAAATCTGAATTGAATATAAACAAAATTGACAGGAAAAAAAAAACAATCGAATTGAATTTTCAAAAACAAAAAATAAAAAAATAAAAAAATAATAATAAAAATCATGAATGGTAAATACGAAGTCATTTTGGACATAAAACAATCCATTTTTTTTTCTATTATTTTCATACATTGATTGGTATTTCACCATTGAACAATATGAAGATATTAAGAAATAGTGGAAAAATTATTTTTTTTTTAAAAAAAAACAGTCATGTACATTTATCCATTATTATACATGACAAGATAATCTACAAAATGTATAAAAAATATTTTATTTTGACTTACATTCTGGACAATTATTGAAATCAAGAGAGAAAGGGGGGAAAAGTTTCCCGCCCGCCCCCTCTTCGAATAAATTTGTTTTAGTTAAACATATGATTATTACTGTAGAATTTTTTTAGATTACGCTTAGTGGTTTAAATTTGATTTCATTGATTAGATAACATTTTAAAAAAAATTTATATCAGAAGGGGTGGATATTATTAGTAATTTCAATAGTTGAAATCATGATTCAATTGAAGCTAGACCATCATGGAAAACCTGGAAGCACTGAATGAATGTTTCATTCTATTTTACGATTCCTAAACAGTGTGCATGCATGATCCCATCTCACAAGATTCGAATCCAAGACCTATCGGTCTCGTGCGCGAGTGCATAACCTCTAGACTACTGAGTCAGCATCCAACGGTGTTAATATCTAATTTGAACCAATTCAGCAAATTTGCGCAACCATCTTTTATTGTATGAGGTAGATACCTGTCTCTGCCTGAATATCACCAGAAAAATCTTTGAACTATAACTTTAAAAACTTATTATTAAGTGGAAATATAGTTATCGTTTACTGACCAACATGCAATCAAAATTAAGAAAATGACTGAATGATTTGCGTTAATTGATCTGAAAAAACAACCGTATAATTTAATTAACAGAATTATTCAGTCTAATTAGTAGTATAAATAAAAATTTGAAATAATGAAACTTTTATATCATCGTCAAACAGTTTTTAAACTGCAATTTTATTGAATAAGTTGCCTCTTATCAACTGTATAACAATGAGTAATATCGTCAGCTTCATTTGGATACATAAATATATACATATGAGTGTTTAAAATCATATAACAATGTGATCTATAGTTTCACAATTTCATTGACAACAAGTGATTAACCAATATTGTGATTAGATTTAAATTATATATTACTCATTATGAACTACTATGTGTTCTATCAGTCTACAAAGATAACCTGATCAATAAACAGAAAAGTAGAAATGAAACCAAATCTTATTATTCCTACCATACTTCTTTCTAAACACGATGTAGCACATAAACGACTACTTACAAATAATATGGAAAAAGTTAGAGTGTAGAAAAATATAATCACTAAACATTATTCTCAGTATATGGCTTTGTAGAGACTATTGAATTTTCATAGTTCTTAAATCATGAAACGATCTTAGCTAGACCATTATTGAACACCTAAAAGTAATGAACTATTGTTTTTTAGTACGAGACTCATCAGCAATGCTCATCGGCAAACCTGCATCGAGCAATCGAACCCAGAACCTCCGATCTCGCACCCAAACGCTCAAACTCTAAACCGCTAGTTAGTATCTAACTTCATGACATTCATGATATTGTGCGATCAACTATGTCAGGTATTAGAGATTTATCCAGTGAAGGCAATGGACGATGGTCACACAATATCGTGAATTTTATTCATTTAAAAGGTAAGAAAGCTCCACAAAAAAACAACACCCTAATTTCATCACGTTCATCTTATAAATAGACGCTTGCAAATAAACAATAGAAGCTATGGTTAGACCCAGAAATATCTTCAGTCAGTTCTTATAATTCATTGAGTAATAAATGCACTCATGATCTATGGAGAAGTATTAAGTGTTGTAAAAGTAAATATAAAATTAATTTAAATAAACCCACAACTTCATTTACAACAATTATTGCATCGAAAGAAACTAATTCAGCACCAAGTTACATGTAGATCCAACTGGAAAGGCATGAATAGAAATAAATATGCATTTTGGATTCCTCTACTAGCTACAATCAGTCTTTTCTAAACAACTTATAACTAGTAAAAGGAAGACCCAGCTCATCTATCCCATAAACATCAACAGATCCAAGTGGAGACAACTATTGTAGCGGCAGCCTCTACATCAGTAGGCCTCAATATACACAAGGGAAAAATCGACATCATCGAATACAGCACAGAAAACACCAACTCAATCATACTTGATGGAGAAACTCTGGAAGAGGTGGAGACTTTCGCGTATCTGGGTAGCATCGTCGATGAGTGTGGAGGATCCGATGCAGACGTAAAGTCAAGGATTAACAAAGTAAGTGTAGCATTCCTACTATTCGAGAACATATGGAACTCAAAACAACTGTCAACCAACATCTAAGTAACAATCTTCAATATGAGAGTCAAGTCAGTTAGTTCTAATATACGGAGTTGAAACTTGGAGAACTACTACAACCATCATCAGAAAGGTACAAGTAGTTCTAAACAATTGTTTGCGCAAGATACTCAATGTCAGTTCACCAGATACTATCAACAACAACCTACTGTGGAAACGAACAAACCAACTTCTAAATGAGGAGTAAATTAGGAAAAGATGCTGGAGGTGGATGGAACGTCTATTGAAGAAACCACCAAACTGTATCACGAGACAAGTGCTAACTTGGAATCCTGAAAGGAAAAGGAAAAGAGGAAGATCTAAAAACATATTGAATCGAGAACTGGAGGCAGACATCGAAAGAATAAATAAAAATTGGAAACAACTGGAAAGGAGATTGAAGGACAGTATTAGTTGTAGAATCCTAGTGGGCATTCTATGCTGCTCTATGCGGGGTGACAGGTGTAAGAAAGTTAGTAGAAAGAGAAAATATCAAGGAATTCACATATGCCAACTAAGAGTAACCGAAATTCACGCCTTAATATTAATAATGATAAAATATAAATACTTATAAGGTGCAAAAATTTGTATTTAACAGATAAAGTACCTAGCATGTGCACAAATCCATTGATCTATAATTGCTGAACCACCTGGGCCATAAGATATCCACTCGGATTCAGTTGGCTCAAAATGAAATACTTGAAGTGGATAAAGTAAACTTTTCAGATTTTCTAGTTCTAGATATAGAATAAATGTAATGGAAAATAAATAAAATGATGGTTCAAAAATATACTACTTCTATTACATAATATCAGTAGTTTTGAAGTATCACACAATAACACATTCAACATATTATAACTTGAAATTAATAAACGTTTTCAAACCAAGTAGACTTTATATTTTCAATGGTCGAATTTCTCCAAGTTATTTCAATCTGATCAAGTTATTACTTATGGAACTTGACTCCTTTGAGCTGAGGGTGTTTGGCAAGCCTCTGTGCTTGATCATCTTTATCTCGCAGCATACAAAACGTGATAAATCCATGTGAGTAACTGTGACCCTCTCAAGAGGAGAGAAATGTAAATCTTAAACAACATGATTGCATAAACGATAGCCTGCTTAGGCTCCTTCTAAATAGGATTCTTTGAAAGTATCAACCAATATCTTAGTGTTGGTATACCGACGAAATATATAACAATTACTGACAGTGTGGGTCTCCGCTACACATTGGTTTAGGTGTAAAAGATTTGCTACAACAAGATTTTCTCAACTTACCTAAAGTGAACGTCTCTATATGCGATATACAAAAGTAGTATAAACCAGTAAATTGACTTTCCTAATTAAGAATTATATTCTATATACAACTAACTGATCATTAATTTTGTTTAATCAAATATAGCTGTGCAGTTATTTTATGGCTTTTTTAAAACTGCGATATTTAGGACAAAGTAAATGGAACTCAAAATATCTGTCAATCAACATCAAAGTCAGGATTTTTCAACACTAACATTAAGACAGTTCTGTTGTACGGGGTTAGACTTGTAGGACTATTATAACCATCATCAAAAAGGTACATGCATTTATAAAAGTTGTTCACACAAGATACTCAAGATCCTTGACCAGATATAAAAAACAACCTAAAGTATCAGAGAACAAACCAGCTTCCAGCTCATGAGGAAATTAGGAAAAGATGCTGGAGGTAGATAGGATACAGATTACCGAAACCATCAAACTGCATCACCAGGCAATCCCTAACCTGAATTTTCCAATGCAGGAGGAAAAGAGGCAAACCAAACAATACATTCCATCGGGAATCAGAGGCAGACATAGAACGAATAGAAATTGGAAAAAACTGGAAAAGAGAGTGGAGGACAGAATTAGTTGGAGAATGCTGGTGGGCGGCCTACGCTCCACCACGAAAGGTAACAAGCATAAGCAAGTAAATAAATAAAATATACCGATTGAGATTGATTCAGAGAAGGGTTCTCCTTTATCCAAATTCATTTTCAAAGCTATACAATTCAAGATGTATACATATTTTCCAAAGTGCTAATCTAATATCATCACATCTTTCCTCTTATCTCTTCTCATTATTGATCTTTTACCTCGAACCAACTTATTTCTGTTTCCATGCTGTTTCTGATTACAGTTCATCTGAAATTCAACATTTCATATTGTCACATGATCTAAGCCTTCTTTTATAATTATTAATCTATTAACATTATCTTGGTAAATATTTAAGCTCATTACAACCTACATTTTCAGTTTCTTAATTAAGATATTCATATAAACTCTCTGTTATCATTGTTAAGCAAATCTATTATTATCATCATTAACAGACATAATGGTGATCTAACAATGTTCGGTTCAGGATTTCAATGAAACTCAACAATCTCTAAAACCCTGTACTGATAGACCATTTATTAATTACTATCTAGATAAATAAATTATATACTTACCGATTGTACAGCTTTAAATGAATTCACTGAAAAGAGAACACTTCACACAACAGTCAACAAAAATGACTTGATTACACAAGATGTTACCACACACACATATCTATACGCGTTATGGTGAAGTGATATAAACAAAAAACACAAGTTGATTATGCATTGTTAATAGATGGAGGCTTCATTTTTGGTATGTTACTACTATTATGACCACCTCTAACGGAACAGAATGAAGATATGAATAAATATTCTTCACTACTGTCCATATAAGTTGTTTTTTAAATACTAACCTTCTTTATTAGCATCTGTGGCTAGATAAATTGTATCGATGTAATGATCTTCATACTGATTAAATATCTTGACAGCATTTAGAATTTGTTGGGCTGCTAAAACATTATTAGGAGATCGACTAGTAGTAGTAACAGTTGTTGTTGTAGCGTTAGTACTTGTAGTAACAAAATCTCCACGACGCCAATGAACCGCTACATATGGTCCACCTAGAGCTGGTGAAAGTGGCCATTGTGGACGTAACCAACTGGAACCTGGACCAAGATGTTCAACTATTGACGGTGATACTGTACGATCTGAAATATCATTAGAATGTAAATAAGCTCCACGGTAATTATCACCAATATCACGTAAATGTTTTGCTATTGTAATGCTTCGACGTACCTAAATGTCAAATTTTTAATGTACAACAACAGAGAAATGATAGCATAACAGTATAAAGAAGGTATTGAAAAATGACCAAATGTTATTAAACATACTGTGATTCATATTATTCGAAATACTTGCAAATAACCAAATAAAATTTATTAGAAATGTGTAACTTATAATTGACTAGTTAATCGAATATGACGTTTGAATTCGATTGATCGCCGAGTATTGACTATGTCATGTTCATCAAGTCTCTAATGTTGATCATATTCTATCAATTAAGTTGCAATATGGCCACATTACTTGAACCATGTTTTGTTGTTAGGTGGTTATAGGTAGTTGGAAGGAAGTCCTGGACCTAGGCTTCATGCTAGATGACAATCGTCAGCAAGGAATACCTGCGACCTCGAGAAGAATGATAATTTCTGATGGTTTACAGCTTATGTCACTCAACTCCGCCTCCTGAGATGATATCAATGAAGTAAACAACTGTAAATATATGACCCAGAGGAGTTTGATCGCGGCACAAATGGCTCACTAGTAACGAGTCAGAGTGTGAAACTGAATGATCCGGGTTCGCAGCTTATAAGGAGCATCAGTCACCTCAATGTTAAAGATATGTTTTTCTGATGAAAACTTGGTTCAAGGGTTCCTGCCGATTGTTTCCAACAACTTAATGAATACATCACTTGAAAGGCAAGTCTACTAACGATCAAACTTTGCATTTAGTTTTTAGGTTTTATAATGGGTTGCTCAAGACCAGACAGATATCAAATATACAACGCACATTTGATTTTTAGAAAACATACAAGTATCACTTGCTTTACTACAGAACTAAATGCATTAAGGATGCACAAAAGCACTAAGGCAATGTTATTTCACCAGCAGAAGCTGTGTAACGCATTCAAAATCTTACTGTTATCGAATTAGCTAGTTTCAATTTCCAAATTGCCTTGATTTGACGCTCGTACATACCTAATGGACATAATTTATTTTCATTTTTTAGTGAAAGTACATTCTACATGTGTATTTACTGATTTGTTAACCCATGTTCTCTCTTGTACTTCTTTATCTTATAGATCCACACACACATAACTTATTTCTGGGGTGCACGTGAATCTACCAACTGGTATACATTACAAATCATATCCTAACTTCTTTGAAAGCGAACAGCGATGCAATTTAACTGCTCCAGTTTTCAATGAATGAAATTCGGTTAGTGTTGTAAGCTGTTTCCCATAGCAGAAACAGGATAATTATCACATCAATCCATCTAGTCTTTAAAGATTCCACACTTTCTAAGTATGTTCAATTAACCGAAATATATTATCTTTGCTGAGTTAGTCGATGATAAACTCTTTTGAAAGAAAACCAACTTTCCAACAGACAGAAAGGAAATATTGCCTTCAGAATTATATTAATAACGAGAACTACTCTACATAGCCACTTCAAGTAAGCTCTAACCCAACTATACGTATGCGAATAAATAGACCTACGTGTATTCAAGTGTTTGTTTGACAGACTTTCAGGTCGGAGAATACTAGTAGCGTATGTGTTACGAATTTGATCGATAATAGATACAGTGCTGAGACTGAAACTTGTTTAGCTTTCCCATATTCATAGAATTCAACCTCAACTTAAATGTCACTTGATTTATTGAAGATAGAATGTTAGAAATTATGTTGATCAAACAAACTCTTTAACTACTACCACATGAAAATGTCTATCTCTTTTTAAATAAGCTAAAATACATATGAGTACCGGATAGATATTTCATTCTAATTCCAAAACTTCTATGTAGTATCTACCCATAACCCTGCAAGAGATTCCATTGCACCAATAAGTAAAATGAATTCGGATTTTGTTAAGTGAGGATGAATATTTAAGAGATATGGAACTCTTAAAACTGTTCTACAAAAAATCAATATATTCACTTTCATTGTGTTTTTATTAGATTCTTGTCCTATAGTCTCTAAAAGTATTCATTACATCCACCTAAGACCAACAATCAATAACGTTATGAACTGATAATATGTTTAAATCTGATTCATTTTAATATAATTCTAAAATATGAACTTATTTTTTTGATCACCTTAACTGACTGATTCACATTAACCATAATGATCTATACATAGAAATAATAGAAAGAAAACTTACAGTCCAATATTCTTGACTCCATTCACTCCAATGACCGTGTATAATCGACTGAGCTGAGTCTAAGTATAAAGTCCTGTAAACACGGTAAAAATATACGCACATATTCATATTGAAATTTTAAAAAATCCTGATACTATACACTGTGACGAACTTATATAACAATCTACCATTGGATGATTGTCACGTTATCTATCAAACTAATCAAAGTTGGAAATGTGTATCACAGGTTTCTGATATATTGTGGTTTGGGTGATTAAATACTTTTCACGAGACTTTAAAGTCTTGCTTTCAATCCTTTTCATCAATCCACTGCTGAAGAGTCCCATGAGGGGACGAAACATCCGTCTAGTATCATCTGGTTTTCGATTCTAAGCCCTAATTGAGATAAATCTGTAACAAGTACAACCTATAAATAAAATCAATCCGCAAAATCTCCTTCCATTAAATTATAAAAAACCTCATCAAATCATAAGTAATAACAAATATCCTGTCACTGGTTGGAATCATGAGTCAGTTGAACTTGGACCACCATGAAAAACCTGGAAGCACTGGACGGCCGTTTCATCCTAGTATGAGACTCCTCAGCAGTGCGCATCCACGATCCCGCCCCCCGCAAGATTCGAACCCAGGACCTATCAGTTTCGCGCCAGGCGCTTAACCAGCTAGACCGCTGAGTCGGCATCCAGGTTTTCCATGATAGTCTAGCTTCAATTGACTCATGATTTCAACCAGTGAAATTTCTAAAAATCTCCACAAAACCCATTCTGATAAGAAATATCCTGTCAATTGAGTACATTATTACAAATTAAATAAAATAAATCACTACAGTCAACTAACTGTTGTAAAATAAACCAATTTATTTGGGTAAACGACAGAAATTTGATTGAAATACATTGATAAAATATATATATAGCTGGATAACAAGAACTTACGTAATAGGCTTTTCAGAATTTTCAATTAATTGAATTAAGAATGGTGCTAAATGAACAGGTTCTAAATCTCCAGTGATACAATCATATGCAGATGCTCTCATTGGTAATATACCATTTTGTAAATTAAAACTACTTCCTTCAAATAATTCTATTGGCCGACTGAATGACGATGATGATGACAATGTTGAGTCCTACATAAGAATTGAATTAATGAATATTTTTAGTATAGCAGTTCACAAACACAATACAATATTTGATTCGATAGGCATACATGTATATGCTTTAAAATGTGAATAAATTTAACAGATTATATGTTCTAACGATCCTTATTTGGTGATTTTTATAGTATGATAGTGAATAATCATGTAATCTTACATGTCGGGAGTAAAACAGCTATCAACAACATCCCTGGATGATTGTTATGCTACATAACAAACTGACTAAAGTCAGAGCCATACTGTCAGATGATGATCCAGTAGCTGGGTCACTGCGTCACTGTGAGACGTGTCAATTTTAACCGAAATACATTTTCACCAGGTCCTACTATGTTGCATATGACTGACTAATTAATAAAAGTTGGTTAGAACAATAACTGAGTATATTTTAGAAGCAAAACAAAAGGAAAACGCTGAGTTTATTCACGACGTTTTCAATTTTAAATAAATCCGTTGTATTTAGTACCTTCAGTTAACTTTTCGTTTATCTGGTAAATGAAAACGTAATTTTCATTAAAAATTCTATTCCAACTATCTAGGATTATCAGCAACATGTCAATAGAACATAGCTTAATATGCCTGATGAAAAACATATACGTAGTGAACATTAGGGCTTGAGACAAAATATCTAACGGAAGTCATAATCTAATATCTAGCCCTCATTCACTTGCTAAATGAACGAGAAAATGACCGGAAGAGTTGTATACGTTAATAACGATGTGGATAACATGAGACGAGAACATTAAAATGAACATAAGATGGTTGGTTAATCATCGACTTACATTTAATCGATATAATTCACGTAATTCAAATGGACAAAAATCTACTTTACGATTATTAACATTTGAATATTGCCCCAATTTTTCATTAAAATCTCCACGAACTAACTGAAGAGCTAAATCGATTGTCAACGGATGATTGGATGACCTGTTTAATAATGATTGTTGTGAATCCAATACTAAATTTATGAAAATGAATTTTAAGAATGCAGTTTTTTGGAAAATAATAATAGTAAGGTCATTTACTTTTTCATATAAAAAGTACTGAATATCCGAAATTACGTGCAAAAATCAATGTAATCACTTCCTAAGTTCAAACATTGTCTATTGACTGACAGTACGCAACCAATCAACCGATCTAATAAACTATCATTACATGTTATTAGGCGAGATTTGAGGAGAATGTAGAACTTTGACAGTTTAAATCATAAACTGATCTTACCTAGACCACCATTGGAAATCAAGAAGCAATGGGTGGCCATCTCGTCCTAGTATGAGATTCATCAACAGCCGACATCCTGCACTCCACACGCGATGGTCGAAACTAAGGCCTTTAGTCTCGTGCACGAACCCTTAACCTCTAGACCACTGAGCCGGCTTCTAGCAGTGTTAGTGTCTAACCTTAAACAATTCACCATATGATAATATTGTATACGTTAAGTAGGCTTGCCCACAGCCAACATCAACCAAAATGTGACATCAATCAATGAATCCATGTTGATAGATTCTGACAACCTAAGTGGGGTGCGTGCGATAAGCACGACCAGTGATTTGAGACACGTTTCGGAATTGAACAATGTAGTATAGACACGTTTAGTCTTTGTTTTACCCTTGGCCTTCCGTCCTAGTGTAGCAGGCGCTACTCACAAGATTGCTTGTAAGTTATTATGTGGCGGAAGGTGGTATCCAAGTTGTAACAGTCTTCAGACGGAGAGATCAGTACAGCAACAGCACGGCGTAGACAGAACACTTGAAGAACAGACGAGAAGACGGTTCAGGTTGCAGATGTAGGGCCAGTCACGTAAATGAATGATTGAAGGCTATGTACATGTATTGTGTAAATGCTTCGTAACTTCTCGCAATAAACGCAGATTCTTTCCCTTATTGCCATCTTTTACACTAATACTCCTTCATACATACCATAAAACTCTGTTATTTAGAACTACTTTCCCAATCTTGATCCGTTCACATTATCGTTGCTACTACACTATTTTGACCGCTTTTGTCATTAGACTTCTTGATTTCATCTCGTCGTGTTGTTGTGGTGTGGAAAGGATGAAAGTAACTGACTGACTGACTGACTGAGATAATTATTAATATCAAATAAAGTTAATAATGTTTACGATTTATTATAAGTGCCGAGGTTGAACTTAACCAGCAATGTAAGTATATAATTGTGAGATGAACACAAAACTGAAATTTATTTTCTACAAGTTGCAGTTCATTCTTTATAAATATAATAACCTTCATTCTTCTTAATGTTACAACAGAAAGAAGTAAAGAATCATCGATTAATTCAGGATTTTCATTTTCCATTAGAAACTAAACATGTATCTGATAATTCATAGTACCTCGATTGGATATTTCTATATACAGATGACAAGTTTAATTCTCTTGTACATATTCAAATATTTAGTCTGTTGTTTATTGTTTCCATCTCGTAAACTCTAATTGGTTGAAATTTAGTAATTAACTGCTTAAAAGAAAACATCGCTTCAGTTTATCAATCATTTTAGCGTTATTATAACACCTAGATCAAAAAATAACTTTTCATCTAACAAACTTTATCCTATCTTGGTAAGAAAAGTGCAGTTAGTCACATTAGTCTTCATACACATAAAATCTCCTGTTCAAAATTGGGTGCATAATACCCTTACTTGGTAAATAAACCGCATATTATTATTTAATTATTTATGCATAAATAGGCATTTCTTAAAAATTGAAATCAAAATCACTTACCGTTACTGCGTTGAAATTCAATTAAATCCATAACTGGTATAAATAATGAGAGACTGTTTAAATCAAAAAACATTGACCATGGAATGCCTGACCAATTATTAAAATAACTATGATTTGTATATCTTTCATATGATCTGTCATTGAACCAATGAGGAAGTGGACCCCAAGGTGGTAAAACTAGAATCCAATCTTCACCAGTTAAATTTTTTACGTTTATGTCGTGTAGAGCGAAATTTGGTATTTGGCTTGGGTCTCTTAAAAGACTGTAAAAAGTTCGTGATAATATAAATAAACTGAAAAACACAAATAAATGGGAAATTTCAAACTAAGATTTCCGCTAGCGATTAGAATGTGTGCAAAATGGTCACTTTCATTCATTCATGAAGTCAATTAGTTGTAAGTAGTGTGGTACCTGACAGATTTCAAGCTGTCACATCACATAAGCATATCAAGAAGAAATTATCAAGGCGAATTTCATGAACTGATGCCACTTTTTAGTTTGGCTAACCCTAGCGCTCTTTGACTCGACACGTACACCAGCAGATATCGCGTATAAAGAAGAAACTTTGTTGATCATGCATAATACATAGCTCGGCCAACTCAATAGATAAGGATTCACTAACTCATCAACTGGTTTGCCATTGTTACTAAGCACCCTGCTTCGAACTTCAGAAAGATCCACTCGGTAGTTCCATTTCAATACGAACTAATGTCAACTTATGTCCAATAATCATTGTCATTTCATTTTAATGCCCTGGTAGGGCCGAGAGTGAGGAGAGCCTGCCTATCCTCTCGAAATGCTCTCACATGGCCACGCATATACAGTCTCTGACAGGGAAGTCCTACTCACTGCTTTCTCGTGGCAGGGGTGTTATTTACGATATTGAGAGGACGAAAAGCGAACGTCCGGCGCTTTAACCGGGTTGGTGGACATGGAGAGTCCTTTCAGGGGAGTTGGAAAACCCTGATCCTAAACCACTGGTGCACATGGGTTCCAGGATCCTGAAGGAACAAATGGCGTACGAACCAAATGTTGGCCACTGGCTACCATGGGACTGCATCTCCTCATGATGCCCCACTGCCATGTGGATCAGACCTTTAGGTCAAAGGCTCAAGGTGTGGCCCCCTACGAAAACCACCTGCTTTGGTCTAGGCACCTGAGCAGTATGATAGCCCTCACACAGTTAAAATGAAATGACTAATGTCAACTAAAAAAACATTATACTTGGACCAATAATTGAAAGCTTCTATCTATGCAAGAGATACTTAGACGACATTTTCATTATTTGTGAGAAAAATATCAATCTCAAAGACATTCTGGACGCGTTCAATGACTGTCATAAATCAATTAAGTTCACGATGAAATCAGAGTCAGACTCAGAATTTTACTCCTTAGATGTTTCGGTAAAAATGAGACCTGACAGTTACCTACAAAGAATGATATATAGAAAGCCGACATGGAATGGTCAATACACGAATTTTTAAAGTTAATTCTCACTGAAGCAAAAGAGAAACCTGATCCATTCTCTCTGTTCAAGGATGAGAAGCATCCGCGCCGAGGATACAATCGATACCAAAATTGGTACACTAAGGCAGACACTGGTCAACAATGGATATCCACCTAGATTCATCGAAAAAAGTCTGAAGCCAAAACAACGATGTGAAACAGTTTTCACAGCATCAAAGAAGACTTTCTTCATGAACAGTTAGTTTAAAGAAGATACTGCGGCAAAAATACTGAAAAACAGACATTCAAAATCTCTAAAAAAAACGTTCTATTCGGTTGAACTTCTCATTACCTTTCCTAATCGGCGTGTGATCCGAGGTTGTGTGAAGGGTAAGCTCCTATGAATTTATAGAGACAGAACTCAAGAAAATAAATTTCGTACACGCTATTTTCTCTTAGAAAGTCAAAGTAACCAAGAACAAGTCGCTCCTTCAGATAATAAACAACGTTATACGAAGTTGACGCAAGTCTATGAAGCACAAGAAACGAGTCAAATATCCGTTATGATAATTAGTGTAAACTTCGAAATGGAAGTTTACTGGACGAAGCATCAACAGATCCTATGTTCAAACCCCATTCCCTCTTTTTAGTGCTCTGGGCAGTTAAAAAGTACTACCAGAACTTACAGCGTCCCACAAAGCTGGGTAAATAAACTAGTATTTTGTACATTAGTTCCGTCATGAACTTTAAATAAAACACGTCATACTGAATTTTCGAATCATAGTTTAGTTTCCACCACTGTTCCTTAATTGCTTTTTTTGATCTGCCAAATTAACATGTTTGGTGTATGATAATGAAAATAATGCAAATAACTAATACACATTAAGCACTGTGAATAAATTATCTTCATACTACTGAGTTACTCTAAAAGCAACTAATAGGATGAAATACCATTGCATTAGTAAACTAACAAACACTCAGACATTTAATTCCCTATCCAAACACAGAGTGGAAATAAAACAGATTTCTGAGGCCGAAACTTCCATTAGAGGATCCTTACTTACATTTGTGTTGTCCTAAATCAATAAACACACTCGCAATTTACGTCACGATAAACAGAGACAACATATAACGGATAAGTAAACAAACTAATATCAAAGTTTAACAACCTATAGTCATGTTTGCGAGAAATTAAAAAAGAAAGTTATTTGAACACAAAAACCAAATTTGTTCTGTAAAATATTTTGAATTATGTAATCTTACTAGTGACAATAATTAAATCACTATCTGAAACGACAGCTTAATCGTCGGACAACTGAACCTTGAACAACCGAGTTAAGAGTTCAAACCCAGCCTTGTCTAATTGGATTTAGGCATGTGGACACTATTATTTACACCTATTGCAAAACAATGTATAGTTTAAAGTGGGGTGCGAAATTCCGTACTTATTAAATATATTACGTTGTTATTTTATGCATTTTGTATTCAAAAAAAATCACACCTACCGTACTGTATTGGCAATCCGAATATAAACATCACGTTTCAAATTGAAACCTTCGCCATAAAACACATCATAAAATAAATATCTGAAAAAGTGATTGATGCAAACGTGCTCTAAAATGGATTATTTGATACCTTTTGCCGTAAATGCAAACTCTTGGCATACATGCCAAAATTAATAGGATAATACAGGATAAATTCATTTTGTTGTAGTACTTTAGGAAGACTTGTAGCCGATTGAAAGTTATTATCTACAGAAAAAAATTAAAAACACACCACCGAAATTTTTAAAACGTCATCATAATTAAACATGAAACGCTACATATCAGTATACTAAAGTTACCTTATAAAAAATCATACACCTAACTTGTTGTTGTAACAATCAAGAATGTCTCCTGTAAAAAAACTAGTTTTTGAAGTCACGAGACAAATTCAAATTAGAAACAACTAGTTTTTCAGTGTTATTTGTAATCAACCCGATTTATTATATGCTGGTAATAAACTAGGCTGTATTCGATCACAATGGTTTCATTTGGATGATAAAACGGCACAGAAACCAAAGAGATTACAGTAGGTACTGAAGTAAACAAGGTTATGTATAAAAAGCAGATAAGTGAATTTGCCAAAATCCAGCGTGAGGTGTAAATAAAAGTGAAAACTAGATGTACCTGTTGTTTCTAGATTAATTTTAAGCTATCCCACATGCTAACTCGCAGTATGGAGAAGCAGACTATTAACTGAATTACTCGTCATCCAACTAGTAATTTGTCAGTCCGAACTCATATACGGGCAGTAGGAGGACATAACTAGATCCTAAACAAAAACGTTCGGCAAAAAGTTCAGTTTACTTGTAAAGTAGGTTTCATCGTCTAAAATTAACAGAGATTAGGAAGCTCGAATAAAACCCTAAACTTCTCTGAGAAACTAGAGGCGTCAAAAATCTTATAAATTACTGATATTTTAAGGAAATCTAGAAAATTTTGAAACTACTTTCCATCACCACTCCAAACTCTACTAAATGCTGTCCAGATTTTATTTGAAAAATCTGGCACCAAGGCTCATTTAAAACTATAATCTTGGAAGTTGACTTATTTTTCGAAAAATGATGGTGGAATAACCACACGTCTCACATCGAAAAGTATCGAACACAAAAGCGTCTTTTTAATGGCATAAAAATATTAAAGGGAATCTACCTTTCTACGTGAGAAAAGTTTAAGAATGAACAGAAGATCAGCGATTTCGCTATTAAAGTATTACAAACTACACTTCAAGCCTCGAGAAGCTAGAAGAGTAATAACGAATCACGAGTGTTCATCTCGAAATGGAGGGATACCTTCGGAATATGCAGAAGATCCAATTATAGGAAGCCTCAAGAGATACTCTAAGCTCATGATCTACAAAACCAAAGAAATATCTGACAATAGCGCAGTGAGTTACATAACACTAAGTCTTTCTAAGTTATATCCTAGGATATAAATACTGTTTAAACATCTTCAAAGAAAGTAAATAAAAGAATAGGGGTTGGGAAACATATGTTTAGTTAAAGACCGGAGACTGTATAACCTAGCGTTTCAGTCATTGTCGTAAATATTATGTAGTTTGCCTGAGTAATTAGGACTAAAAACAGCTTCAGTGATTTAACTGACTGAGAATTCATATCACATTTTCTGATGTGTAAAAGGAGAAACCATGACTTGCTCAGGTACAATCAAAAACTGTACAACAAATAACAAGCGTTTTAAATTATGTGAAAGTACCCCTAGCCTAGGCTGAAATTCATAGTTTTTTCGCGGGTTTGAGGCGGACTATATTCACGTTATTGAAAGCCGTCCACAGCCCGTGATATTCCACACAAGAACCAACAATAGTAAATCCATGACAAGAGAGGCTTAGACTTTTCATACACTGTTCTTTTCACACTAAAAAGTTGTGGATTATTTGGAAATGTAAGAAAAATACCTATAATTACATTTCAAAAGCACTGTGAAATATAAATAAAATGTGAAGATAAATCAAAATTAACTCAACAAAATCCTCATTTGTATTTGAAAGAGTTCACAGAAAAGCCGACAAGCTAACCGCATTTTGCTTAAATCTGTACAAAGTAGGGAAATCAGAACAACAGTGTAACGAATTGTTCAAAAAACCGCGTATCAAGGTCATTATATATTTCAGTTTCAGTTTGAGTTCACAGAAACAATAATAATGTTCAACTTCAATTACATAATACGACATAAAAAATACATGTGAAACCATTCATTCTTTAAATATTTCAGATAGAAATCACACTAATTTTGCCAGGTCGCTAATTAAAAGGACAGTGATATTTTTCCTCGCTGAGTAAATTCTACTGTCTTGATCGCTTACTACGTATAATAATAATAGTAATAATTTACATATTCCGAAAACAATAATAACAGAATTCACGCCAGTTTACAGGCATGATCAATTTGATATAGATATTAACATCAGATGTACAGACCAAACATGTGATAGAAGAAAGTTTTAAGTATACTAGTTCAGTAATTGTCTAAGTAGTACATGTATTACAGCGATCCAATACATCAGCTGGGAACTTTTAACTTTTCTTAAATGGACAGCCTGTTGATTTATGAACGGGGCAATTTAGGTCATTTCGTGTGCCAGATCGAATTAATGATAATTATCTACAACTAGAGAAATTAAAACGAAAACAGAGAACACGGAACAACAAAGCAGTAATTACCAAAACATGTCAATTAGGTCTACCAAAATACTTGCGTCATGTGACACAGTGATATACTGTTGATGTTATTCAAATTAGTTAAACTTGCTAAGGACGGTGTTAACATAAAGTGGTAGCATGTAGGTGGTTTAGTTTAGGGAATTCACTAATAAGAATGGCTAAACATCTAAAGTTCCTATAATATCACTTGTGGAATCAGATACACTTAAAGGCGCTAGACCATTCAATGCATTTTCAGAGGAGCAGTATGCATCGATGCAGCGAACAAATAATGGCAGTGATTTTATCGTACGGATAGATTGTGGTAGATTATTCCAGAGTCTGGAAAATTTACAGGTAAAGTAATTCATATAAAGAGATTATTTAGAATAAGTTCGTTTCCCTGGTGACAAGGAGCTACGGATGTCACAATGAGAAGTTTCTGCATATTGAATCACGTGATTGGATGTAAACGATAGTTTATTAAATAGTTTGAGGAAGATGAGATTTAGTTTGAGTCTCCTCTTCCATAAAGGGTCTAGCCCAAGTTTATTACATCTACATTTATAAGTTAAGGTACAATCAGCTGCAAGAATACGAAGTGTAAATCGTCTCTGTACTGATTCCAGCCTTAATTTATCCTTTATGCCCGCACTGCTGAGAACTAACGTGTAATATTCTGGAAGTGGTCGAGCACAAACTTTGTACAGTAAAATACGTGACTCAATGTTATATAGACTTCGAGTTATATTAACCTATCAGACGTCCATAGTTAGAGGTCTGTTTCAATATCTGTTCTATAAACAAAAAGTCTTGAGAGTATCTAAGTCCTAAGTCTACTACTGTATGTAACATAGATAACACCTCTCCATTTATGGTAATGTCTAGGTTGATCGATGTGTCGCGGAAGCACATACATCCACATTTAGCCGCATTAAGCTTCAGTTGCCATTTTAAGCACCACCGTGCTACCTTGTTAAGCTCCATGCTGATGCAATTTTGCATATTTTTCAGCTCATGTGGAGAAAATGAATATAATACTTTAAGATCATCTGCATATAGAAGGGGCTTACTCTTACGTCCAAGTTTTGCTCGTTCTAGTTATTGAAGTACGAACTATCGATCTACTTACAAATTACGAACCCAAATTAACAACAGAAACAAGCTCCAATTTAGATACAAATTTATTCGTAATTCACAAATAATCGACCAAATGTCGTTCTAACAACAATAATTATAACAATTACAAAACAAACCTTCAATTTTGTAGGTTCCTGGAGCAAACCTCCCAAATACCAAACCAAAGACAAACCAAAATGTCCGAAATAATGTCTTCAGTCTTCAGTTATAAGGATAGTAGGTTGATGAACCTGTAATAATCCTGACACACTGCTTTTCAGTGAAGGTCCAGCTTCTCCTTGAAAGTGTTCACTGATGGAGCTGATACCACTTGTTCGGGTAATGCGTTCCAATAATTGACTACTCGATGAGAAAAACGGAACCCCACTTTAAGTTTATTAGATCTTGGTTTATGAACCTTCTTGCTATGACCGCGGAGATTATTAGTACTGGAGGGAGCAAAAAGATAAGACATATTAACACCCAAATCATAATTAAAGATACGAAATGCCAGTATAAGGTCACCTCGTGTCCTACGATACGACAAGGGAAAAGATTTAGGCGTTTTAAACGCTCATCGTAAGGGAGTCTAGAAAGACCCTTCACTCATTTCGTTCCCACACGCTGGACACACTCAAGGGAGTTAGTATCCTTTACCAGACACGGGCTAGCTGCTTGGATGCAGTACTCTAAGTGTGGTCTTACATAGGTGGGATATAAAATTTGAAACGTTTCCTCGTCAAAAGATTTGAACGCTCGGCGAAGTGACCATAACGCTCGAAAACCTTTGACAGCGGCTGCTTTGCAATGCCAAGTTGTTTTTAAATCATGACTTAATACTACTCCTAAGTCTTTATGCTCTTGAACGCAAGGAAGAGGTTTACCCTCAATAGTGTAACGGTAACTATTAACGTGACCGATGTGCATTAGTACACTCTTTCTAGCATTGATTTCTAAGCCCCACTCTCGAGCCCATCTAACTAAATCGTCTAAGTCAGCTTGGAGATCCAAATGATCAGCCTCACTTCTTATTGCTCTCCAGATTTTTACATCATCCGCAAATAATAATGTCGACGACCTAAGCAACAGCGGTAACTCATTAACGTAGAGAAGGAAGAGCAGAGGGCTTAAGATGGTGCCTTGGGATACACCACTTTTGACCGGCTTACAATCGGATAGCGTTCCGTTGACCCTCACTCTCTGTCTGCATTCACATAAGAAATTTCCTATCCATTCCTGTACAGCACCTATTATTCCGAAGCTGGAGAGCTCCTGCATAAGACATAAGTGTGAAACCTTATCAAATACTTTGTTAAAATCCATGAATATCACATCGACAGAGAAACCGTTATCTAGGGCTGCTGTCCAATCCTCCCTCGCAATAAGCAAGTTAGTCAAGCATGGACGCTTGTTACGAAATCCATGTTGCTCAGGAGCTAACAGATTGTGTGAATCTATGTGGCTTAGCAACGTAACCCGAATTATCTTTTCAAGTAAATTAACGACTATGCTAGTTAGACTAACAGGCCGGTAGTTAGATACTATAAGTCTCTGACCGTCCGTAAATATAGGACTTACTATAGCGTCCTTCCAATCTCCAGGGAGTTGAGAAAGTGAAAGGGACATGTTGAACGGCGTCGCGATAAACGGCGACATTACGGACTCAAATGTAGCCTTAAACTTATTCCATTCATCTTCGATCAATCCATCCGCGTCGACCGACCAATCAGTCGAGATAGCACAGTTTCTGATCGCCGGGATATTGGATCGCCAGATAACGGGACGGGGTGGAGCAGATACGAATTGCATACCATGTGTCCTAAACTTAAAGTGAATTACAACGTGATCACTGTTCACTAGTGGGGGAAGGTGCTGAATATGGAAGACATTCTCACAGTGGTGGGTGAGGGCGAGGTCCAGCAGTGACGGATCATGATTGAAATCAATATGTGTCGGTTTTGTGATACATTGTACAAGCGCACACTGAACAACGGTAGATAAAAGGTCGCTATCGAAACCACTACCTGGAGCTGTAAGCTCTATCCAGTTGATATGCCGTGCGTTGAAGTCCCCAATGATGAGACAACATTCTGCCATACTCCAAGAACAGATGTGTCTTAGGATAAAGTCGTCAGCCAAACGGACTACGGTATATTCCCCCTATAGTCACTAACCCACTTCTAGATTTAATCTTACAATATGCAACCTCACATGTGCCACTGATATGAGCCTCCGATATGGTTGATTGTATACGAAAGTGATCCCTTACTTATAATATTATACCTCCCCCCTTGCGACTTGAAAATCTATCACTTCTAATACAGATATAGCCTGCAATGAAAGGAAAACAGTCTATATCTACTGTGAATCAAGTTTCTGTAACAACGAATATATCGGGATATAATTCTTCCACCATCAGACTTAGCTCGGACGTTTTATTTCTAAGACTACGAGCGTTCGTGTAGCACACACATAAGGTGTTTTGGCAATCAATCGTTCTACCCATAAAGGCGTCGGAAGCATTGGCTTCCAAGAACTGACTACCCGAAAACCATTAATGGTAAGGTTATTATCGCAATTTAATTTGCGAGTCCTCAATTCCGTAAGAGCATTCTTCAACTTGATTCGATACCCAAGCGGACAGTCTGGTCGAATGCTGATATTTGAGTCACGAATTTTAGTGCGTTTTTGAATAATATATCTTTCTTCAAAACTCCCGAGAACCAGCTTCAGGATTCTTCTTGGTTGGGTCTCGCCTCCGACCCATTTACCAAGTCGTATTACTTTTGTAATATGTACCCCTGAAATCTCTTCAGGTAGTACATTTCTTACCACAGACTCCACTAACTGCAGGTCATGTGCGTGTCTTCTAGCAGGGTCGTTGTCTTTCGACTCCTCTAGATTCCAAATAATTAAACTAGGGAGGGGTTAAGCTTCTTTTGAAACTGTGTTCACAGCTTTCGACCGTGACGATAGATCCTGTATTTTAACCACTGGTATCTTACGATTAGTTTTTATTGTAACAGAGTCCTGTGAGTCGAGCGAGTGACTCACAACAATGTTAGACGAAGCTTTACTTTGGGACTTTGGCGGATTGGTCTGAGAGTCCATCAAGGACTTATCAAGTAAACAGTCTTAGTTTTAGCTGTCTTTCCTACTCTTCTGCGTTTTCGCGTCATCCATTTTCCATCAGTCGAAACATTTACATTAGAACCACTCGGGACAGTAATTGTCTTACCTGGATCACTAGTCGCAGCTGTAGCAATATGGCCACCAACGTCTAATGAGGTGTCACTCACTGATCGTTTCAGGGGAGAACGTTTAACTGCGAGTTGCACATGT